TATGGGGAGAAAAAGAGAAAGAAACAGATATGTGCCTACTCACACATAGGTCTATATATGTATTTACTTTACATAGACATATTTAACTATTTTACATTTACATCAAAGCATAATTTTGCATAGTATTAAAAGACACAGAAAATGGAATCAGTAAATTAGACACAAATTTTGGTAATGATTTATTCTGCCAATCTCAGACAAATGCTCTTGGGAAAGTTGTCAAACAAATTTTCTTTTCAAACTGTCAAGTGCCCAGTTATATTAAGCATTGTCTTAGTCATGAATTCAATACAAATGACAGACCAAAAAAAAACAGAAATGTGTGAAAGTGCCAGTCCACTCACCTCTCATCATTTGACTAGACAATATGTATGAAACAGTGACAAACACAATTGTCAGTCTTAAAATTCTGTCAAAATATTGAATATACATCTAGATACATACACACACAAGTCAGCATATATATGTAAATTGAAATGTAATTGTTACTGATCACTCAATAACCATTAGGATAATACAATAGACCTTCAACCCATAATGCATCATTGACCAGCATATATAAATAGTTGAGCCAAAAACATAACATGGCCTGAAGATTATGTTTTGAACACTTTAATACATCACTGTAGCATACTTTAAAGCTGTATTACCATTCATATTTCTATTATATATATATATATATATATATATATATATATACACACACACACACATACATACACCCATACACAGTTGGGGGGGGAACATATTTGTACACATAGAAATTTTTAAATTATTGTATTTCCAACTAATGAATAAACATACCCTTCATATAATTAACTGTACACAGATGCATAATAACTAAATGTGCTTAGAAAAGAGAAAAAAATTTGACATAATAGAAATAAATCTCATTATCCATTTTAATGGGTGAAAAAATTATTTGTACAATCCAAAAAAGAATACATAATCTTCATTTAATATTTTGTAGAATAGCCATTATTCATTTCTACAGCAACCAACCTCTTCTTGTAGTTCTCAATGATTTTCAAATTTGGTATTTTGTTCCATTCTTCTTTGCATATGGTCTTCAGATCTGGGAAGTTTATTGGAGCTCTCCATTGGATTTGAATTTTCAAATAATGCCACAGATTCTTGATCAGGTTTAAATCTGGAGACTGACTTGGCCATTTCAGGATATTTACATTATTTTCAGCAGGCCATTTTTTTTTAGATTTTGCAGTGTGCTTAGGATCATTATCATGTTAGAAGATCCCGTCAGGAAGAAGTTCAATATTTTCAACTGAATTCATTAAATTTGCTTCCAAAATGATTTGATATGCTGCAAAAGTCATTCTACCATCAATTACTGATATTCTGTTACCAGAACCCTTTTCAGAAAAACATCACCAAACCATAATGCTGCTACCACCAAATTTCACCGTTGGAACTTTGTTCTTCCATTTGAAGGCATCACTATCTTTCCTCCATACATGATTTCTAGAATTACATCCAAAAAACTAAATTTTGGTTTCGTTTTATCCATAATACACTTTCCCAATGCAATTCTTCCTTATCCTTATGTTCACGAACAAATTTCAACCTTGCATCTCTGTGTCTTTTCAATAGCACTGGTGTTTTCCAAGGGAAGCATGACTTTAGACTGTTCTTATGAATTTCATTGCTTATTGTTTGTTTAGTAACACAGATTCCTGAAGAAAGAAAATCATCATGAAACTCATGATGAGTAACCATTGGATTTTGTTTAATTTGACGCATTAATTTCCTCAAAGATCTTAAAGAAATCTTCCATGGAGCATCTGTTCTTCTTTGGTTTTCAACAGTTTTGAGTTTTTTTTTTTATTCCTTGCAATGGTAGTACATGTATTATTCAGGTTACCTGAGATTTTCCTGTAACTTTCACCTTCTTTCCAGAGCTTAACAATCAGTTCTTTTTGTGAATTTGTCAGTTCTTTACCTCTTGCCATGATGAAAACCTTCTTGCATGAATATCAATTACAGAATGTTCTGTTTGTATTTTTTAGGCTAAAATTAACTACTGATAACATTATTGGAACATTCTAGAATATTCCATTTGAATAATCTTGAGTATTGAAGCAATTTAAGTTTTAAAATCTGAAATTTGCATTGTACAAATACTTTTCACCCATTAAAATGGATGAATGGGATTAATTTGTATTAATTTGTATTAAATAAAAAAAAAATTGTTTTCTATGCATATTTATCTATTATGTGTCTGTGTGCAGCTAATTATATGAAAAGTATATTTATTCATTAGTTGGAAATACAATAAATTAAAAATTTGTAAGTGTATGAATATTTGTTTACCCCCATTACATACACACAGACATGACAGAATTGAATAGACACCATGATAAATTTTATTTCTGATTCTTTTTAATAACCAAGATAAATTAACATAGATTATTTGATTAAAATTGCAGATAACAATATTGGAACATGCCACGAACCAAAGGAGCATCAGACCCCCTCCGAATTTCAGCGAGGATGTATCGTGGACCAACATGAAAAAAAATATCTGAAAATCTTTCAATCTCCCTTTCTACTGTTAATAGAGTGATCGTACAATTCACCAGAGATGGCAAGAAGTGCACAAAACCTCATCCAGGCCGCCCTGGGCCCTCTGAAAAAACCATGCATCTTGTTGAAAGAAATGTTGAACAGGATCCATGTTGCAAGGCTTCTGACATAGCAACACAAGTTGATGTCAGTCCCAGAACAGCTGTCAGGTATCTTCACAAGCTGGGCTACTATGGCAGAGCTGCGAGAAGGAAACCACTTCTCCATCTAGCCAATATCAAACGCAGAAAGGATTGGGCTCATGAGATGGTGGAGAGACCTGTGACCTTTTGGACCACTGTCATTTTCTCTGATGAGTCAAGATTCACATTATTTTCTGACAGTGGAAGAGTATGGGTATGGAGATTCTGTAGTCAAGTTTGATTTAAAAAGACTGCAGACAACGGTGAAACATGGAGGCCTTTCAGTAATGGTATGGGGTGCAATTTGGAGTGATGGTCACTCAGAGCTTGTGGAGTGTGAAGGAAACATTAATTCAACCAAATATGTTTCTATATTAAAGAAAGGGCTCTTTCCAATATTCTCAAGTAGTAGAATGAGCAAAGTTGACTCCCTATTTATGGAAGATGGAGCTTCATGTCACACTGCTCAAGCAAAGCAACATTGTTTGAGACAAAATGGGATCAATAAACTTCCATGGCCAAGTCAGTCCTCGGATATTAACCCTATTGAACACCTTTGGGGCATATTAGATCGAAAACTTCGCAAAAAGAACAGGAAGCCATCTTCTAAGCCTGAACTTTTAGGATTATTGCCTCAAACATGGCAAGAAATCCCTCAAGATGATATTCATGAACTCATCGCTAGCATGCCTAAAAGGGTCCTTGCATTGAAAAAAAGCAAAAGGGATGTCCACCAAGTATTAGTTATTAAATTTATGATCATTTATAATTACTTCATTTGTATAAATTACTTGTTTAATAAAATAAACAGTTTCTGTGAGTGTCTATTCATTTCTGTCAATATATATATATAGTGTGCATTTAGGCAGCATTTTTTCATTGATGCATGTTTCATTAAATAATATACACAACTTTATGCAAATTCCTTTCATATCATCTGATAAGTTTAATAACATTACCTTTGAAAGATGAGTTTGTCATTGCTTGGAAATCTTCCATGCAAACAAAAACAGACTATCATTGTTGTTATGTCCATGTATTGCTTAATTTATTGTAATGTAATTGTCATCTTTGATGATGGCTTATGTAAGCCAAAAGCTTAGATAGGATTAAAAAATATGTATCAATATGGTGATTTTCTTTCATCTTTCAATGATAATGTTATTAAGCTTATCAGATGATATGAAAGGAATTTGCATAAAATAAATAGACAAAACTTTTCTATATTATTTAATGAAATATGCATCAATATATATATATATATATATATATATATATAACATATGTATTTCTTCTTTTCTCCACAGTAATTTTATAATTTTAAACTTAATAGTGATTAAATTTGGATTTTAAAATTGGTAATTTTTACTTTTAATATCAAATTTTATCATATAATTTAATAATTATTGGTTAGAATAAATTCTTTTTTAATATTACCCCTATTTTAAAGATCTGAATAGCTATTATAACATGACTTCATTGTCAAGCTTTTTGAATTTTCCTATACGTGTATTTTCTAGCTTTTGTAACAACATTTTCCGTTTGCGAATTATCATTAATTAATTTGAAACTTTTAAAACCATTTATTTTACATTCAACATCATCACTTGATAAGACACCAGAGGTGTTGAAACAAAATAGCTATTTTTGTAGTGATTTTATAACACAGTTATGTTATTATTTTTTAAGTAAATAAAAAATATATATATATATATATATATATATATATATATATATATATATATATATAAATATATATATATATATATATATATATATATATATATATATATATATATATAAAAATAAATAAAGTAAAAGACAATAGGAAAACTCTAATATCAGCTAGCGCATTTCATACAATATGGAATGAATTCATTTTGTTTTTGCCTTGAAAAAGACCACATTGGATGAAATGCACCAGCTAATAATAAAGTTTTCCTATTGTCTTTTACCTCTATAAATATTGTTTTTTTTCTACAGGTAAACTCCGACAAATTTTTCATATATATATATATATATATATATATATATATATGGTAAAAGACAATAGGAAAACTGTATTATTAGCTAACCCTTTTCTTCCAAAGTGAACTTTTTCAAGGCAAAAAACGAAAAGTTCCACATTGGATGAAATGCGTTGGTTAATAATACAATTTTCCTATTGTCTTTTACCTTTATAAATATTGTCTTTTTCTACAGGTTAACTCTGAGAAATTATATATATATATATGTAAAATTGACAAATACAATTTGAATGTTTTAAAAGTGACTAACCTGCTCCAGTTTTCGCGCTACCCATTCCTTGATCTTTACGGCTTTTTCTTCCACCAATTTGGCATCACGCTGTCTCTGTTGCTTCTGGAAAAAATACAAAATTGCCAGAAAAGTGTTCTAGAAAAGAAGAGAATGTCAAACAGATGTTTGTAAAATCCATCAATAATTAACCATGTTTTCTCCCGACACACAGCTAGAACCCAACTTTTCAAATGTTTATCTTTCAAATAGAGTGGCTCAACACAATCTTCTCATTTTTATTCACTCTTAATCCCAATGTTATTTTGTAGCTACACATGTTTGAGTAGACACTTATTCTCTGTTAAGTCTCTCAAATGTACAGGCTGGTAGACATAATTCATACAATTAAAAAAAAAATTTTTATGATTAAATTTTGCTCCCATCAAAATATCCTCCTTTTGTCTTGATTACTGCAGCACAAATTTTTGGCATTTGCTGCAAGAATTTCTCAAAATCTAACATTCCATTCTTTTATCAATGACTCTAAGAGCTTTTTTTCATATTTTTTCACTCTTCTGTCAAGTTCAACATATGATTATTCTAGGGGTTGCTTCAAACTTTTGAAATGTAGTGTAATTGAAATTCATATATCCATTCTATTGCTAAAAATGGTCAGTCACTTGTCTTGCGCTCTCCTAAGTACCTAGCACTTCCTGCTATGTTCGATCTTTCAACCTCATTCCATTCATATTCCATTAGTAAGGAGGAAGTTTCAAACCGTTACTTTGTGGAACAGACTCCCGAGAGGATATTTCACTGATCACTACAATATGATCCTCTTCAAGTTTAGGGTCAACCATTATCTATCCTACATATCCTTATAATCTGCACTTCTTAAATCTTCTTCTTACATTCATATCACACACCTCATTCAGTAACTCTCTACCTTGAGTCACTCTTGTGCCCTGCATTGGAGGATCAACAAAAAAATGTTTACAAGTTATTCCATCAATAAGTTAAAGAGGAACTGTTTCTTTTTTGTTAATTCATGGCATCTAGAAGCAAGCAACTAAATAGTCTCTGTCTGAATTTCTGGGATGATGAGTTATCATTATATGCAGTCTATTGGAGGAACACTAAAAAGCTATAGTGAGGGGTAAGACAATGAAATCAGGCATAGCTGATCATGTATGGAGGGAAAAATGTAATCATCAGTCTATGTAGAATGAAGAGAAAATAGTGGACAAAGAAGAACACTGGAGAGTTAGATGTCTGAAAGAAAATGCTAAGCTATAAAAACCACCTTAGTAGGCCTAGCATAGAAATAAATACAACAATAAAGAAATAAAGAAAAACACAGCAAGTCTTCAACAGCAGCAGCAGCTGTAACAAAAGAGAAAAATTTCAGTGAATGCAGTCAAGCATGACATAGAGCATCAGCAGCACTAATGAGAAGGCAGGTTAGGTTTAAGGCTCCAAGTTCTTTACATATGGAATAATAAAGTAGTTGATTAAAGTGTTGGTTAATCCCTAGGCTGGGTACTGTGTATTTGTACTCAGTGGAAACAGCAATAACTGGGACATCCCAAGACATGAACAGCCCTGACAAGAACAGTCTACTCTCACAGATTGAATAAAGGTTTCAGTTCAGAATTCCCTGTAGATTACCCAGATTGACAGAGGAAGGCTGGAGCACCCAACAGATAAAATGTGATTAAAACAACTAAGACGAAGCCAATAGTCTGTGTGTAAAAACTAAATAGTTGTTTTCAGAAATGAAAACTTAGATTACTATATAGAGTTAAACAGAAAGTAGACATTGGATAAACAAATGTTGAGTTCTGTGTAAAGAATCTGTCATGTTCTGTTTTGCCTCTGGGTCCCTACACTACTGCATAAATGGTATCAACAAAAAGGCCCATTTCTTTTTGTTATCTTTTTTATTAGGAGAGAGTGGTTGCAGCTCGGATTCTAAATGACAGTAGAAGGAATGACATCACAGGAACACATGCCACACTTTGACTTGGTGTCCCTCCATGGGTGGTCTTAGCCATTCTCTTAGGCTGGGTGTGGGAGGCATATCAATCCTTCAGAATTCTTGTGGCCTCTGTTGAACTTGCACTGTTTTGGACTTATATCCAAAACCAAGATAAAGGCAATCCATCAGATTACTCTGCCCACAAGGCACTCCAGCCAATCGCTGATGATTGTTACCCTGGCCTTTGCATTATGTAATACAAAACCTAGATAAAGATAAATGAGTAAATATTTGGATATAAAGTTTTTCTTCACATCTGTATCATAGAGCAAAGCTATTTCTTCTTTTGTTCCATGGTTTACTTCAAAAAAGCCAGTGGAGAAGGACATTTCTGAATTCAAAACCTGAGGAGGGTTGTTTGGGGATCTTGTGGCATATTTTGCACCAATTCTCTGTATTTGGCTCTTCCAAAAGGTGTGGTTGGTTCTACACAAGCCTTCCTTCATCATTATAATCTAATGATATATGTGGGTAGTTTGGCTGTTGGTTCTAAGAACTGAGCTTCTTAACCCTCATATGTTGAAAACGAAAGGAAAGTCATATATATATATGTGTGTGTGTGTGTGCATATATAAAATAATGTATCTATTCAGTAGTAAGCTTGTATTCCAGTTATAGAGACAGAAGAATATGTCTTTCCAATAAAATCTCATCAAAATTATTCTCCATTCTTTATTTCACTTTTTACAAAACCAAATGCTCTTCACAGTTGGAGAATGGTTTGGAATAAAAAACAAAGAAAAATGAAAAGACAAATAAGAATTAAGAACAGAAAAAAAAAAACTTAAAAATAAAAAAACAAAAATTGTGTGAATATATTTACATGACAATTTTCGAATCTACAGCAACAGTGAAAGAAGAAAATAGTTATGAATAAAAAAAAAATCACATCACTATTCAATCTATGAAGACACTTCCAAAGTCTGTTCATGTCCAAAATAGGTGTTCACTGAGACAGTTCAAAAGCCTCCTGACACAACTGCAGAATCAGTTCTTATTCACTTCTGGTTACCATTACTGTTTCAGATGACTGATGGGTTGGGATACATATATATGTCTGTATGTGTGTGATACATTTACATAAAGTTGAACCTTTCATTTTCTTTGGTCAACATAAAAAATATCAACATTTATTGATCATTAAATATGAGTAGAATTTAGTAATACTAAATGTTGATCCAGTAAAAGTGGTGTTCTACTTTTTGCAAAAATGCTGGGTTCAGAGTTGAGACCAAAAAGTTTGAGAAACTGCTTTAATTTACAAAGCTCCTTAATCCTTTGAATCCTGTGTTCCTGGACAATTTTAACTGTTCTGCCTGAGTTCCTGAGCCAAAATTTGCAAATAATTCGTATGTAACATTTCACGGTAGATATAAAAATTGTTACAAGTGTTTACCCATTGTTCAACCGGTTGCTGGGCATTACGTCATTTTTCTCTACTGCCAGTAAAGCGGTGGTCATTTTTCTCTACTGCTGGTAAAGCAGTGGTCAAAGCTCAAAGAGTTAAACTCAAAGACAGTCCTTTTATCTCAGAATTGTGACTGCAGACAACATGATACCATTCCAAACGACAGAAATATAATCTTTACTGAGTTGTGATTTCTTCCCAAGTGAATTATTCATAATTGTAAAAAGGAATATTTACTTTCTGCTTTTTCAAAAGCATCATCTGCTTAATAGTACTTCATAGAATATTTCAAGCAGTGAATTCGATATATGGTGACAATGTGTGAGTGCAACATTTAAAATGGCAGACAAAACAAATGAGACTTGATTTTGAAAGTGAAATGGAGACAATAAGTCGCTTGGGCAAAGAGGAAGTTCATTGACCTTGTTCATTCGATTTTCTTGTTCACTCAATTTATTTCTTCCTTTTAATTCATTTATCTTCAATTTTGTTTCTCATTTGTTTCTCTTTCATTTCTTCAGTTTTCTTATTCCTTTGCTTTCTTCTTTTTCTATTTCTTCTTTTTCTTTCTCCTCTTTTCTCTCTCCTTTTCTCTTTCCTTTCTTCTCTTTCATGTGGTTTGCTTTTCTCACTCCTTATCTCTTTTTCTTGTTTTCTTTTCTCTCTTTTTTTTTCTCATATTGCTTTCTTTTTTATTTCCTTTTTTCACTTTCTCCTTTGCTTTCTTCTTCTCTCTTTTCATTTTTCTATTCTTTCTTATCCTTTTTCTTTCATTTTCTTTTCTCTCTTTTTTCTCTTATTGCTTTCTTTTCTTTTTTCTTTTTTTTCACTTTCTCCTTTTATTTTTTTCTCTCTTCTCATTTTTCAATTCTTTCTTATCCTTTTTCTTTCATTTTCTTTTCTTTCTCCTTGCCTATTTGTTTTCCTTCCTTTTTTATCTCCTTTTCTTTTTCTCTTTCCTTTGTTTTCTTTTCTCTGTTTCTCCTTTGATTTCTCTTTTTTCATTTTCTTTCCTTCACATTTTCAATCATTTTTTTTTTATTTTTATTCCTTTTATTATGTCTCCTTTTGGGTTTGGATATTTTTACTTCCTTCATGAAGTTTTGACTAATTTTTTCCTAGCTTCACTTCAATCATTCATTCTTTCTTCATATTTTCTCTTTTTCTTCTCACATTTTTCTGTGAATCAGTATTTTATTCTATTTCCAAGAAATAAAATATCAAAACTATTCTTTCTTTGCATTATTCTTCCCTTCTTTTTTCACTTTTTTTATTTTTTTTGATAATCCAATCTTTATTCTTTCTTGTTTCCACCATTTATTCTTACTTTCTGGTTTTATTTCTTCCTTTCTTTTTTTTTTTCCAGTATCTATTTTTCGTTCCTATTTATTTTTTCTTCCTTTCCCTCTACCATTTATTTTTTCATTCTTTCTACCCTTTATTTTTTCATTCTTTCTACCCTTTATTTTTTCATTCTATTTATTTTTCATTCTCACTATTTTATATTTCTTTCTCTCTCTGTATTTATTTTTCTTTCTATTTTTTCTTCCTTTCTATACTATTTATTTTTCCTTTCTTTCCCTACCATTTTTTCTATTTTTCTTTCTATTTATTTTTTCTTTCTTTCTTTTTCTCTATTTATTTTTCCTTTCTTTCTTTTTCTCTATTTATTTTTCCTTTCTTTCTTTTTCTCTATTTATTTTTCCTTTCTTTCTTTTTCTCTATTTATTTTTCCTTTCTTTCTTTTTCTCTATTTATTTTTCCTTTCTTTTTCTCTATTTATTTTTCCTTTCTTTCTTTCTGCCAATTATTCCTTCTTTCTTTCTTTCTCTTTACTATTTATTCATTCTTTCCAGTATTTTTTCTTTCTTCTTTTGTAGTATTATTTCTTCTTTACATTCTTCCCACTATCCATTTTATCTTCCATTCTTTCTTTCGCCATCCATGTTAATTCCCCACCTTGTATCCAAGCAAAATGCCTTCATCCCTTCCATAGAAAGCCTCTCTTCCCCTTCCAGCTTTTGCCAATTGTTGATGACCAAAAAACTAGATGACCAGATCAAGATATATTATCAATGCCTCAAGTGGTCAGTGCTGCATCAAGTCAGACAAGACCAGACAAGCCAAATCAAAGAGAAGGTCAATACACTGACCTCCATCTTATTTTGGGATAACTTACAGTGAGATATAGAAAAGAAATTCCTTTATTCATTTGAAATTATTTTGGGTTTAATATAGATATTTACAAAGTTAAGGTTAGTCTGACATAAGACTGAGGCACCTAGTGAGAAACAAACTCACTGTATGAGCAAATGGGTTGCATGATCATCACTCATCAGGTGATGAGCAGAATAAATATTTTACATATTTTATATGTTAAGTTTACCATTGTACAAAACTGTCTATTAAATCACTTAAAATAATTATATTAGGGTGTATCAAAAGTATTTTCATTTTTTACAGATCTTTACTACATAGCTTATTCCATCAACAAACCTTTAAGGACTTGTAGCACTGCTTCTTAATCTTTTTCTTCTTCATGTGCCATGTTCCCTCAGGATGTAGGCAATTATGGCTCGCCACAATTTCCTGTCTTTTGTAGCTCTTTATAAATTAAAATTTCTTTATAAATTTTGCCTTTCTCAAAACCTGTTCCGCCAACTATTTAGTCAAGCTATATTTAGTAAATTATTCACTGTTTTTAATCTGTCCCGTGAGTATCAGATTTTCCAAGCCCTCCTTCCTCATTATGTGTCCCTAAAATTTCAACTCTCTCTTCCTGATGTTAAGTATAGGTTTTCTTTTTGTTTCCATTTTCTTTAAAACCTCATCATTGCTCACATGTTTGGTCCATGGTATCCTCAGCATCTTTCTGTAGAACTACATTTCTGGTGCTTCAAGTCTCTTCCTCATCTTTGAGGAGATTGTCCAGGACAGATATCACATAACAGTTCAGGACTCTTGTCTTAGTTTTTCTGTTTCTTAATGAAAACGGTGGCAACAATATTTTCTGCATATAAACTTTGAGAAATGGAAAACAATTTCAACAAAATACAAAGAGAAAATTCACAAATATGAATTATTTCTATTTTTATTATTTACTATCTGTCTATATTTCTGAGATGAGGTACATTATTTACATTATTTACATTATCTTTCAGCCATTGTACACTCCAGCCTTCTTCAGGTGGTTGGAATGTAAAACTGAACACTGGGGTAGACTGTTCTACTTACACGTGCCATGTTTAATGGATGTCAGTTATCAGTTATCTGTTAATTTCCCTCTAAAATTTCTCCACTGCCTTAACCAGGTATCTTTGTATCCTGTCACTGGATTTAACAAACGCCTTTATCCACTGTGCCACGTGTCCTTGAGGACATCTGTCTATGAATTTCTGGGTATTATAAACTTAATGTCTCAGCACCATTTTTACCAGTGCTCATATTGCAATTTTTGCTGTTATCAGAAAAAAAGAATTTTAACCAAAATTTTGAAGGTTCTAAAAAGGATTTAAAAATATAATTCAATAATCAAAAATCCTTTGGTCTTTCCTCTTACAAATAACAAAGATTTTGATGATAAAACTTTATTTCTATTAAGTTTGGGGCATTTTTTCATCATGTCTGCTCATTTTTTAGTGATTTTTTGGAAGTAATATTTTAATATTTATTAAATTTTTATTTATTTTTTGGAGGTATATTTTAATATTTATTTATATTTTAATTCAATGACAAACCCAAAAATATTTCTACAAAATTTTTAAAAATAATTTTCCAAAAGTTAAATAAAACCCTATAATTATTTTAATTTTTAATTTTATAAAAAAGATATATTTTTTTCTTGTCTCAACTTTATGATTTTATTGTTCAGTCCAGGGTAGGTGTTGTCTAAACTGCGTGGGAGTGGAATTTATGATTTCAACTATTTTATTATAAACTTGTGTGCATATATACATTAAATATCACAGACACATGTAAATCACTCATGCACAACACATAAATATGCATATAAATTTACATTTGTGCACGCTGAGAATATGTGACAGGTAAAAGTTTGCTTTTATAAAATAAATTCAAAATAACTTTTCTGTAATATATTATAACATTTTGGCAAACAGTGACAAATGTGTCAACAGTAAGACAGAGTGTCAAAAGGAGAGTTTTTCCCTTGACTCTGCTATTATCTTAACTACCTTCACTCCTCAGCAATGTTTATTGTTTTAAAAAGCAATAATTAGAATTGAAATAAAATCTAAACATATGATGAAAGTGAATTTATACACTTTATTTTTATTCTTGAGAATTTACAATAAAAATATTAACGACTATTTATTTATTAGATTGTTTATTTACAAAATTAATTTTATATTTACAACATTCTAAAACTCATACAATTAAAATTAATGCCATGCAATATTAATCATTTCACAATTTATAAAGAAATATGAAAAGCTTTTATTCATAAATTTATAAACATTTACTAAATTATTAAGATATATGAACCAAGTAAGGAAATCCTTATTATTTATCATTTTACAAAGTTTGAATCAATTGATAATCAGCCAATATTTTGCCAACCATTCGAATAAATAATATAATAAAAAGTGTTTATTATTTTTGTTGTCAATTCTCAAAAACAAAGAAAATGTATAAATTCATTTTTATGATTAAGTTTTATTCCAATTCTAATCATATTTTAAAGCAATTAACATTGCTGAAGTGTGTAGGTAGTTAAAATAATAGCAGTGTCAAGGAAAAAACCATCTTTTTGACAATCTGTTTTGTTACAGGCACAAAGGTCCAAATTTGGTCTGTCTTTTTTCTCCTAAGAAATGGCTAAAAATCTTTTTTTCTCTTCTTTTTTATGCAAACTTAAGAGATAGAGTAAGATACATTTGCACAATAAAAAAACTTTTTTCCTATTCCCTGCTTAAATAAGTGCTGTACTGGTCACGGAGAGGTTTTGCATACCATCAAATATGGTAGTTTCATGGAACATTACTTTGATGGCTGGTTTAATATAGTTGTCTTTTTTTCTTTTTAATTGTCTTATTCATTCTTGACTTGCAGGTCTTTCGTTTCATTCTGATGCTTTTAGTAGACTAATAGTATCAGCTGTAATAGTATTTGAGTTTCTCAGATAAAGCATTGTCATGAGTTCTAATTATTGATTTTTATAACTGATATATCCCGGAAAGGCATATATTTGAACAAAGTAGCTAAGTGATTTTGGCTACTATAACCAAGTAGAATACGGTAACAGTAATCGACTGGTACGAGTCGTAGTCACAGGTAAGAAGTGTAGATCAATAGTGTAGTCCTATGAGCATCGTTATAGACTTAGCTCTCAAACTAAGGCTTTTGACTATCGTACCTACACGTCCATCAGTATTTATGACAGACACCAGCCAATCATATTCCAGTGAGGGGGAACACAGGTGTACGCATATTCCATTATATCAATAACAATAAACATTATCGAAGATTGAAGGTAGATAAAAAAGTGGTGTCATGGAAAAAACATCCTTTTGACAGGTATATCTGTCTATGTTTGCCCATGTTTTTTTGTTTGAAATCTCAATGTAATTTTTTCTGAATTCATTTAGACACAAGCAATCTTAAACTGTTTTTGTTTTTTGTTCTCTAGCCATGTCATTGCAAAATGTATGAATTAAAGTCATAGGTGTATTTAACGAGACTTTTTTTTTCTTACCTGTTCTATTAATTGTTTCTCCAGATCTGCAATATGTTTCTCCTTGCTCTCAAGCAAACCCTCCAGTTCCTGTATTCGGTTACTTAGGTCCTGGGGTTGACAGTTGATTGCTGCTAATCGTTGTTCCATAAGTTTTAACTGCAAAAGCAAGAAAAAAATTCCAATGTTTATCTATATATATATATATATATAAAACAGAGTATGTCTGTCTGTTTGTGTGATTACTTTTTTCACTCAAGACCCATCCAACTGATTTTGACCAAACTTGGCACATACATTGTACAACATAAGAGATAGCTTCTTAGCATACAATATCAATAATTTTAAAAAAATCAATAATCAATAAAGCCAATCAAGAACTGATAAATTCAACATTTTCCTCCAAT